TGATAAATTTTTCTATTTACCTCTTTGACTAAATAATTTTCTTAGGGTGGGTGGGTTAGTTGTCGACAGGTTCTGAGGCACTGAGTTCTCTGTCGCCTCAGATCTGAAAGATGACTGGCCTGGTTGAATGATTGTTGTTCATTACATTGGGACCAGGAGTTGAACCTCACTGACCTGTTGAATTTCAGAATAAGCTGAGAAAATTGCTAGAGCTATCCTCGTGCTATGTGGCTAACTGGATATGTTAGGAGGCTTTCAGAACTGTGCAGCTGCTATGGTGCAGCTAGGACAGCCAAAGGCCTCTGAGACTCCTGGATGGGGTGCTAGGGACAGGTCTCAGTAGCCATCTGCTTCCAGTTATCATGTTGATAACCTCCGTGGCAGTGTCCAGTGTGCAGGGGGAGGTTACGTGGGAATTCTTGTCTCTGTAGCTCATACCCCAGTTCAGACATTCCTTCTGAGTTCACCTGCTGTAAAATAAGATCCCTAAGACCTTACTCCATAGAATTGTGCTGGTTGCTCCTGACAGAGAGACTGTAAATCACCGTGAGAAGAGAAAAGAAAAGCACCGTCTCTGACAGCCTCCACTTCCTGGATTTAGTGGATGTTACATGATCCTCTGGTGTTCATCAGTTTATTGCCCATTTTCCAATATTTTATCAGTCAGAAAGTTGTGGAAGTTTGTAAGGCTAAAGCACAGGGCTACTAAGAAGTGCTGAGGGAGCAAATGGAGCTGAAAACAGCCCTGTTCTACCTGCCCCATCCTGTTCTCTAACCTGAAGCTGTGTCTGCCTGGAGGGCAGAGTGTCTTTTTCTTTGCACCAAGCCACCACAGTCCGGCAGCAGCATGGCTGAGGCACTGGGGGTTCTGTGACAATGAGTACATCTGATTCTACTGCAAAAGCTTATGGTACATACTGCCAAAAGCAAACCTTCACATTGACTTTTTCCATCCCATCAGTATACACCACAAAAAAAAAGATAGCAGCAGCATTCCCTTCATCGTATTTTTAAAGATCATAACATTCTCGGCCACTTATCCTGTTGTGTAAGGGGTAAGAGTTGTCCTTTTGGGGTGTTTTGGCATTGCAGAGCATTAAGGATCAAGAAGAATGCATCTTGTAAATTTGTTGCTAAAATTCAGTCACACGCAGGCTATGTTCTGCCTTTAAACTTTCCGTTTCTCAGATGTGCCTGTACACTTAGTTCCATTTCCCTTGCCCCACAGAGGCTCTCTGCCCATAGCTCATAAACTGGGGAGGGTGATGGTGGAGGATGTCTCCATGCAGACCAGGAGCTGACACACTTCCTTTACAATACTTTCTTTAGTAATATTTAGCTTACTAAGTTGTTTGTTATTATTGTAATTTTTACTGTTTCTTTCAAACAGAGTATTAATCCTTCTCCTGAAAACGCACTTTGACAACTTCCTGTATAGATGATGAAGCTATTTTTAAGGGTTATCTGAGTTCACTTTTAATTCCTTAAGAAAACAGCAATTGGAATTGTGAGAGACTATCTAATGGTGATAAGGGTTCTGTAGCTTCCGCCAACCAACCTGGTTGACTAGAAGCTGCATCCCAGGGCTGCAAAAAAGTATTCTTTTATGGCACAGAGAGTTTCCTCTGCTGGGCTGCACCCAAGTTATGATGGTGATTTTGAATGTGTATTTTCACCCAAAGAAAAGACTTAATATCAGCAAGCTCAGTGCCACCATAACACAGTATGAGAAGTTAAGGAAATTCTAGCTGAGGTGTAGGCAAAGAATCAAGTTTACGTTGTCACATAGTTTACTTGCTATTTCTTTTTTTCAAATAGCTATGTATTAAGCTATAATAAAACCTGAATAAAACACTATGGAGGGTACTGAAGAGTGAAGGCATATTTTCTCCTCTAGATGAGCAGCTGACCCCATCAGACCCCTGTGCCCTGAGGACAGTACAGCACATGTGTCATTGGCAACTGCATTTGACAAGGAAGTGTGTCAGCTCCTGGTCTGCATGGAGGCATGCTCAGTTTCTGAGCTTCAGGCAGAGAGCCTCTGGGGGGGCAGTGGAAATGGAACTAAGGGTACAGGCACATCTGACAAATGGGGAGTTTAAAGGCAGAACACAGGCTACATGTGAATGAGTTTTTAGAAAAAAATTTACAAGATGCATTCTTCTTCATCCTTAATGCTCGGCAATGCCAAAGCATCCAAAAAAGACAACTTGGAAACTGCAAGGTGAAGTTTGGGGAGGGTTGTGGAGGGAGAGAATGGGGTTGGTCTTGGGCAGTGAAAGTTCTGGAATCTATTTATTTCTCCAAGTTCTGAACTGGGATTTGTAAACTGTAAAGTCACAAACCCAATTTTTAAGAAAAGTGAACAAGGCTTCCTATTTGATTGTGAAAACAGGATGACAGGATGAAAAATATTATGAGAATTCATGAACATAATAATTTCCATTTATACATAGGAACCATGTGGAAGGAAGCATGATAAGTGCTCAATACTACTTTTTTTTTTTTTTTTTGTAGTGAAGGAAGGTGCAGCATTTATTGTAAGGCACCAGTGCAAGGAGAATGGGTGACTCATGCTCTAAAACTCCAAACTCCCTGAAAGGTTTCCAATATTAACTATTATTCCTTAAAATAATTCTGTTAGGGAGATATTACTATAAACCCCATTTTGCAGTTGGGGAAACTGAATTTTAACCCAAGTATTGGACTCCAAAGCTCATTGTCTTAACATATATGCCTCTTTAAATAATTAAGCTATTTACATGAGAAAGTGCACTATGCATCCTTCTCCTGGATTTATATCCATAATTTTATCTCAAGTCTCTTTTGCTGCCAGCTATCTTGGGTAGCTATGTCCCTGTTTGGCTGTCACCTCCAGAATTATCTTTAATGCCCAGGATTATCTAGTTCCTAGGACTGGGCTTCTGCTTTGACTCCTGCTGTTTTCACTGGACCCCCCTCCCGTTAAGGGCCGGTGTCTCTTCTACTCCTGGAGAGGCCTCCTAGATGACACCTCTTTGGGTATCTAATTTGTCATGGAGAACTGAGAGATACCTATTTGTCTCAAAATTATTGATGCTGACTATTGTTATGGGACTCTATCTAATGCTTTGTACCTCCTCAATTAGCTAAAACTGCTGTCAGGGCCTATTCTACCTTATCTAGTAGGTGGGTCTGGAATTGTAGCTGTGATACTTGCAGTAACAGTATCCTAGGTAAAAGCATCTGACTACTACATGTCCTCTCAGTAGCTACACCTGTGCATTTACCTGATGGAATACAAATTATTTGATTATAAATGACTTTCTTCATATTATAGTTTTATTTATATATACATACATACATACATACACACACATATATGATATATATGCATTAGGGATTTATGTATAATACATATAATTTTTAATGATGTGTGTAAATAAGTTTCTTTAACAATGACTTTCATTTCGGAATAATAAAAGGGTGCTAAGAAATATATGTGATGAAAAATAGGCATTGTAAGGCTACTGGGGTGGTGAAGAGTGAAGCTTTTAAAAAGACTTCAGTTCAGATTCTGATTCTGAATGTGAGGAATGTGATTGGGATCAAATTACTTACTTTCTTGAGTCTCAATTTTTTTTGTTGTTGTTGTTCATTAATTTATTTTCGGCTGCGTTGGGTCTTCGTTGCTGTATGTGGTCTAGTTATGGCAAGCAGGGGCTTCTCTCGTTGTGGAGCATGGGCTCTAGGCATGTAGGCTTCAGTAGTTGTGGTGCACGGGCTCTGTAGTTGTGGCTTGCGGGCTCTAGAGCACAGGCTCAGTAGTTGTGGTGCATGGGCTTAGTTGCTCCGCGGCATGTGGGATCTTCGTGGACCAGGGCTCGAACCCATGTCCCCTGCATTGGCAGGTGGATTTTTAAACACTGCACCACCAGGGAAGTCCCTCAATTTCTTTATAAAATCTAGATAGTAATTATAACCTAATTCAGGGCTGTTACAAATATTATATGTTAGTATATGTAAATCTCTTCTACCCTGCATATAGTAAATGCTGAAAACTGTTAGCTATTATGATCATTATTAAAATGGGGATGATATATACTTTATGAGGTTATAAATATTAAGCAAGATATATACAAAGTGCCTAGTTAACAGATGTCCAGTAAATATCACATTTCATTGAATCCAAGTCGTACCATTATTTTAGGTACCTTCAAGAAGGAAAAAAATACTGCCAGTTGTACAATAATTATTAGACAGTAAGGTAGACCCCAATTTTAGATATGTTAAGTGTGAATATTTTTGCATTAGAATCAAAATACTTTTTCTCCCCTTCTTTGCCCTACTTAACTAGTGAAGAGTCTTTACCCCCCAGAATCTGGAATTCTGTTTCCTATTCTTTTTCCTCCTACCAAGACCCTAGGGTCTCCTACTTCCTTGGCTAAAAAGGGCTACAAGCACTGTAAGTTTTCTGTACCATCTTTATATTCTCTATCATGATTCCCCTTATTTCTTCCATCTTAATGTTGAATTCAACTGCTCAGCATTCTAATTCTTATTATACAAGATAAATGAATATAAAAATAAAACAAAACAAAAACTTCTTCCTAGTTACCCAAGGCCTTCAATCTAATATTTAGATTCAGAATCATTTAGTGATGCATATGTATGCCTTTAGAATTAACAGCATGGTGATTGATCAGGCACTTCATGTGAACAGAAACTGACAAAGACTGGGAAGAAATTCAAACTTGAGGTAAGAAATGGCAGATTTTCCTGGGAACAAATTTATATGCCAAAGGTGGTAGAATGGTCAAATAGAATGAAAGTGGAGAACAGAAAACTTTCCCACAAAATGATTTCCTAGGAGCTCTTTTCAAATGCTGAGGAACACTATTTTTTCAGTCTCACTTAGCAAGTACAATGTCGCTAATATAGTTGGTCTCTTATTTGGATAAACAAAACTAAACAAACATCATAATTTCAGAAAAAAATAATAGCAAAGCAGAAATCAAACATTCAAAATAAGGTTTTGGTTATTTTGTTTATTTCACTTAGGACACTCAGTGGGCATTAACTGGGGTACTTAAAATTCATCTCAATTAGGAATCTCTTTAGTCCTTCATCAATTATTTCAAGTGTTCTCATCTCAAATACATTCCTGTCTTCAACAAACTTCTGAAAGAGATGAGTACCTCCACCCACACCAAAATAATGTGCTTTGCTGGCCAAAAGCACCTGTCCATTTTTATCTAACAATCTAAGGAATGTTTGGTGCAAAGGACCATAATAACCTGGATTGTAAATGGTTTCTGAGGTAAGAATGAGATCATATTTTTCAAAAAGTTTTTCACTGCTTAGTAGAAGCTTACAAAACTCAGACCACTCCCCAGAAAAGAACCGGAATTTACATAGTTCTTGTGCTACTTTTGATTTCCTGCACCTTTTCACATCTGGTTCGTTTACATCATTTTCTTCATCTTCCAAAGTGCAGTTAGCCACTACATTAGGTAAGGTTACTTCATCAATCACCACACTGTTATAATCTTGAAAATGAATTTCTTTGGCGCCTCCCTTGAACGCCATTATACCCAGCAACCCTGATCCACAACCAAGATCCAACACTTTTTTCCCAGCAAATTTCACTTTGGCCTTTGTAAAATATGCCAGGAGGTCAAAGGTACATTCCCAGATTTTTAAACCTCCTTCATAAACACCTGTAATCAGATCAGAGTGAGAAGAAAAGCTTTTTGAAATGATGTTTTCTCCAGGGAAGTTCTCTTTCAACAAGATGGTTTTCACTACTGATATGTTCATATGCTGGAGACCTGGTAATGTTTCTATGACTTTATTTTCTAACACTTTCTTTAAATCTTTAGGCATAGCATGCTCTTTGGCAACTCTAAAGCAGGGCTGTTTTTCATGTGGCTCCAAGCTACTTGAACTGTTAGCTGCATTGAGTGAGCTGTCTGTGTCTTGAGAGGGACCTGCATTTCCTGCTGACTTATGCTCCCACAAATGATCCTGAAGCAGGTCAAACTGTTCTGTAGAACATTTTTTGTCTCTATGTGTACCTTTTTGTCTTTCTGAGACTGAAGACTCTTTTGAGGAATCTAGGGCCAAAGCTCCATCTCCAAGGGATGTTAATTCATCTTCCAGATGGTCTTCTATAGTGAAATTAAATTGAAAAGTCATTCTTTCATAAAATGCACACAATCGTTAAACTCAAAGGAAGATTCTTCAACTTCTGGATAGAACTGATGACACACACGTAAACCTGCTTCAATTATTCTGTTAGTTTTGCTGGAGGTCCATTTCTCTTTAGCTGCTTATAAACAGTTACAATATTCAGAGATATTTCCAAATGACTTTTAAGAGGTCTTTGCTCTTTTTTCAATTTAGCTCTGGAGAAAAAAAAAAAAAGAAAATTGTTATTAAAAAGCAAAATGACACATTTTACATCAATGTAATATTAAACAGTCCCCTGCTCCACCCCCAGCAGCTGCCTTTTCTATGAAAGCGGTGGAGGGACAGGGAGATAAAGAGACTTGGAAACACACACACCCTTCAGGTTTCAAAAGCTGGAGAAGAGGGCTTCCCTGGTGGCACAGAGCTTGAGAATCTGCCTGCTAATGCAGGGGACACGGGTTTGAGCCCTGGTCTGGGAGGATCCCACATGCCGCGGAGCAACTAGGCCCGTGAGCCACAAGTACTGAGCCTGCGCGTTTGGAGCCTGTGCTCCGCAACAGGAGAAGCCGCGATAGTGAGAGGCCCACGTACCGCGATGAAGAGTGGCCCCCGCTTGCCACAACTAGAGAAAGCCCTCGCACAGAAACGAAGACCCAACACAGCAAAAATAATTAATTAATAAACTCCTACCCCCAACATCTTAAAAAAAAAAAAGCTGGAGAAGAGAATAAACCGTAAAAACGAACAAAATAACAGCAGCAGCAACAACTAGAAATAACGTAAAGTCCAAAATTCTCAGGCAGGAAATGACAAGCCTAGCTATTTAGTGTGTTTCATCTGTCACGACCCTGCCCAAACATATTAACCTCCTAAACTGCCAGAATCTCTTCAATCTGTTATCATTTCAAGTAACAGGACTTCAAGATTGTATTTTGATAAATGAACATCCCTTTAAAAACAGGAACAGGTATGCTCTGATGTGTGTAAATTCATTCAGATGACCTCACTACAAACATTTCGTGGAGACCTGCAGTTCTAAGTGTACTGGGAGTGAGGTAACTGTGGAGTAATTAGTAAAGATTAGCTTGACACAGAATAAGGGCACTGAACTGTGCGGGGAGATCCGTAGAAAATGGAAGCAACTTAAAGAGACTCTTCTCTGTATCTACTGGCTAGACACTTAAAATATACCGTCTACTTCAATTTGCACAACAATGCTGGCAGGTGGGTCTTTATTCCCATTACATAGGATGTACAGAGTAGGGTCAACACATTAAATGGGTAGGAAGGCGCCTGTTTCTATCCCACTTCACAGCGGGGCTTGGAGTCATTTCTGGCTCTAAGTCCCAGGTCAAACCCGACACCAGATGTGCAACCTCAAAGCCCCAAGGGACGGAGTGTAGCAAATCTGTGGACTCCCGGCCCTCACCTCCCCCAAAGCGTCTCAAAAGCAACGTTACAGCGATCCAGACCCGTGGACGTTAGCTCCCCGGCAGGTTCCCAGCTCCAGAGTAATCCGGCCAGACGCTCCCGACTGAAAGCGCTCACCAGTGAGTCGAGGCCTCCGCGGGCCAGACAAGCCCGGCCTTATTCCCAGTTGTGTGGGGCCCGGGCTCACTAAGGAAAGCGGCGCCCTTCCTCTCTATGGTTTTGGCTCGCAAGGCCTGCCGGGACGGTGGGAGTTTCCGGTCTTGGCTCCGGCGGGAGGGTTTCGAAGCTTTGGTCTTGGGCGAAAGCATGTCTCAGGAACGCGCTGTCCCGGCGAGCGCGGTTCCCCTGGAAGAATTAAGTAGCTGGCCGGAGGAGCTATGCCGCCGGGAACTGCCATCTGTCCTGCCTCGGCTCCTTATATCCTTCATTGTCACTTCCACCTAGAGAGGGGTGTGGGGCCTGTCTCCAACTTTCTCTCCTGTCCTCTCCCGCTGCAGGGCCGTGTTGGGTTCCTGCGGCTTCAACCCTCTCCTTTCTCTGTTGATGAGCGAGATGAGTAAGCGAGGGAAGGAAGGGCGAGCGAGAGCCGTGGGTGCCGAGACCGAAGGCATGCCTGGCTTTGGCATCCGAAGGGCTTGCAGAGGTGTTCTGCCAGTGGTTTTGGCAGTGGATGTGGCGTTTTCTGCCATTTCTCTGGGCCTTTGAGTTGCTCTGTACGTGCAGTTAAGCGTGAGTACTTTTCCATGGGGCGGGGGGAGCGGGGAGAGGCAAGGACTCAGACTTGAGCTGTACGGTGAGCTGACTGGATGAAGTAGAGAGAGCGAGGTACTCTGAGCTCTCATCTCTAAAATGGGTGGTGAAAATGAATACCTTCCTCACTATTTTGAGAATCTAATTAAAGGACGTAGTTCTGCCATGGTGCCGAGTCTGTAAAAGATGTTCAGTAAATACAAATGTTCTTCCCCTCCCCTTTTTGAACCTCTTTCGGTTTATTACTGGTGAGAAGGAGTTGCTTCCTTTGCTAATTGGCTTTCATCTCTTGGGTGTGAGGTACTTAACGTCTCCGTTGTCCAGATGCAGATCATTTAGTAGTCGAATCCTTTTTTGGTTGTAAATGTACCTGGAGTCCTAGCCCTTCATGTTAAAGGGTAATTTTTTTTTTTAACAGCTTTGAGCACATAAAACTACACTCAAAAGAAAAAAAAGACCTTCACTTGAGAGAGTCTGAACACTGCAAAAATAATTTTTTACAGCTAAAGCCAAATATAAATATTACGGTCACATAGAAATTATTCACCTGGGCATTGGCAGGTGGTCCCACTTAGGTACCAAAGCGCTTTCTTAGTTATCGTGTAGACATGGAACTGCTGTCCTCAAGGATTTTTGATTTTGGTAACAAAAAGCCATCCTCCTCCTCAAAAAATTTTACTAGGTACCGAATATTATATGTACCAGGCAGTGTTAGGTTTCGGGGGAACAAAGATAAGAAACATGGTTCCTCTTTTTCTTCTCAAGATTATGGGGGGATTTCAATAATTGAAAGTCAAGCTTGTTTATTTATTTATTTATTTTTATTATTATTATTATTTTTTGCGATACTCGGGCCTCTCACTGTTGTGGCCTCTCCCGTTGCGGAGCACAGGCTCCGGACGCGCAGGCTCAGTGGCCATGGCTCACAGGCCCAGCCGCTCCGCAGCATGTGGGATTTTCCCGGACCGGGGCACGAACCCGTGTCCCCTGCATCAGCAGGCGGACTCTCAACCACTGCACCACCAGGGAAGCCCAATTTTTTTTATTTTTTATAAATTTATTTATTTTTGGCTGCGTTTGGTCTTCGTTGCACATAGGCTTTCTCTAGTTGCCGCGAGTGGGGGCTACTCTTTTTTTTTAATAAATTTATTTATTTTTGGCTGTGTTGGGTCTTTGTTGCTGCGCACGGGCTTTCTCTACTTGTGGCAAGTGGGGGCTGCTCTTCATTGCGGTGCAGGGGCTTCTCATTGCGGTGGCTTCTCGTTGCGGAGCACGGGCTCTAGGCGCACGGGCTTCAGTAGTTGTGGCACGTGGGTTCAGCAGTTGTGGCTCGCGGGCTCTAGAGCGCAGGCTCAGTAGTTGTGGCACACGGGCTTAGTTGCTCCGCGATGTGTGGGATCTTCCCAGACCAGGGCTGGAACCTGTGTCCCCTGCATTGGCAGGTGGATTCTTAACCACTGCACCACCAGGGAATTCCCAAGCTTGTTTATTTACATTAAAAAAAAAAATCATTCTCACCTGGTTTTGCATCTCAAACTTAAAATTCAAAAGAACCCAAACCTGTTCTTCCCCCCAGTCTTCTTCATCTAAATAAATGGTTTTACAAGCCAAAACCTTCAGTCCTCTCTCTCTCACATCCAATCAGCAAGTCCTTTTGTTTCTAACCTAGACTATATCTTGAATCCAAATGCTTATCTCCATCTTGGTTGCTACCACTCTTTCAAACCCCCATAACCTCTCACCTGAACTATTGTTTATAACTCCCTTGCTTCTACTCACGTCCTCTTATAATCCATTCTCCAAAAAAAGTTCACAAACAAGTGAAAAACATGTTGTTTCCTTTTTAAACCACTCCCTCCACCCCAGTGGCTTCTTAACAAATTAGGAATAAAATCTAAACTTTTACCTTCAAGGCTCCTCATGTTCTAAGCCTTTTCCTCGCTTACCTAGCTCACTACACTCTGTCCACATATACATGAAGCTCACCTACCTCAGGATCTTCATTTTTGCTGATCCTTCAGCGTAGTTTGTTCTTCTCTCAGCCTTTTGTCCATCTCATTATTCAGATCTCAGCTCAGATGTCACGCCAGCAAGCCATTTTCAGTGTCCTCAGTCTTAGGTGCTTCTCCCAAACCCAGTCTGTAATATTTATCTCGTTGCCCTGTTCAGTTTTCTAAAGAGCAGAAGCAACCTTAATGGAAATTATCTTGTTTACTTTGTTTTCTTTTTACTTTTCCTCACTGTACTGTAAAGTTCATAAAGGCAGGAATTTTGTTTTCTCCAGCACCTAGAATAGTGCCTGGCACATAGTAAGCATTCAATGAAGGGCTAAAAGATATTGTCATGTTTTAAAACTGCCTGAAAATCTCATTAGATAAATTTTTTTTCAGCTTTTGGTTTTACTTCACTTTTTCTACAAATGAAAGAAATTTTCAGTAACTCCATCACCCAAACATAATTATTTTCATGTTTTGCATTTCACACGTTATTTTCCAGTCTTTCTTTTTTTTGGGGGGGGGGGTCGCGCCGCTCGGCCTGCGGGATCTTAGTCCCCCGACCAGGGATCAAACTTGTGCCCCCTGCAGTGGAAGCGCGGAGTCTTAACCACTGGACCGCCAGGGAAGTCCCTTATTTTCCAGTCCTTACCTGCATGTCTGCATAATCATAACTTATGTTTAATTTTGGAAGAGGCTAGAATTTTTTTGACCTTTACTGAAATTGATCCACGATGCAAATTCTACCCTACTGAACTAAAATGAGTTAATGACTATCTCATTTTGATTGCTGCTGTAAGATGTATATGCAGAGTAAGATTTCAGAAAAAGAATCAATTCCTGTATTACTGTGACAGTTATGGCTTATTCATTTTTCTTATTGACACATACTTTAATAATTCGTATATTATTTTTACAGGAAAACATTTCTAACAATTATTCTGAATGGTAGAAAAGTGTATAGTTTATAATGTGATTACCATTAACGTTTGTAATGAACATAGCATAATTTATTATGTCATATTTGTAAGCTTCTATGTGCAGAAGAGTTTCTGTCTGATAAGGTGGTAAGATAGATATGCTAGTAACATGAAAGATAAGTTTATCCCTGAGCGATTTTGAAAACATTTCCTTAAAGTATTTTCATTATATTTCATTATACCTAGTAAACATTACATGTTTTACAGCAAAATTAAGCCAGTAATTTGAGTCTAATTTCAGTCTCTTACTGATCATTGCTTAAACTTCAAGAAGGGTCCTTTTAAAATCTGTTCTCAGTAGTGAATATCTTACTACTGATACTAGTATCTTCCTTAATTTTTTTACTCTATGTATCAGCATTCTGACAGTTGGCTTGAGCATATTCGTAAGTAAAATTATCTTAATTGTATGATTACTTTGATGTCTTTAAGGACTGAGTCCCACATATCCCAGTTTCGTATTCCCTTTAAATTTAAATATAGTTTTGTATACTCTTTAAGTTTATTCTTCCTATTGTAGCGTTACAGCCTTTGTAATCTTCAGTTACTTAAAATGACCAAATTACTTCAAATTACAGTACTTAAAGTTTTAAATTCCATTTTGGATAGATACCAAAAGTGTTCTGTTTGATAATGTGTGTATAAACACATTGTAAATTTTATTTTATTTTATTATTATTTTTTTTTTTGCGGTACGCGGGCCTCTCACTGTTGTGGCCTCTCCCGTTGCAGAGTACAGGCTCGGGACGTGCAGGCTCAGTGGCCATGGCTCACGGGCCTAGCCGCTCCACGGCATGTGGGATCTTCCCGGACCGGGGCACGAACCCGTGTCCCCTGCATCGGCAGGCGGACTCTCAACCACCGTGCCACCAGGGAAGCCCCACGTTGTAAATTTTAAATGTTAGTTGTTAAACTGGTTAGACCAATATAAAACATAATTTGCAGTCTACTTAATAACTTTCAGCCTCTTAACATGTTTAGTGTCAATTAGAAAATACTTCCTAAGTTACAAAAGGCTGATTGTTTAGGCATGACAAATTTGTCATTTGGAAAAGTTCACTTTCTTCATCTGTCTTCATTAATCTTACTTGATGTAATTTATTTATTTAGTTAGGAGGAGAGGTAGAGAGTTAAGTCTATCTGCAGAGTTTACTCATATATTTTGAGTTTTCTATTTACATTTCACTTGGTTGTGGAATATTTGTTTATAATCTTGGATATGTGTGCTGCCTGTGGGGTCTGATTTTTTTAAGGAACAGTTACTTTTTATCCTGTGTATGAGAGTTGTACATATTCATTATAGAAAATTTGTAACATGCAGAAAAACATAAAAGATAATAAAACAATCATTAATCTGAAATGTTTAAGATTTTGGCATAGGATATTCTCATCTTGATTCTATATATTCCTGCCAGCCTATCGGTTATTTTTTGTATATACATGTTTATATATATATTAAGATTGGAATTACACTATTTGGAAGTTTTTTCATTTTAGCTTAATGTATTGTGGACATTTTATCATGGTTTTAAACGATCTCTAACAATCATTTTAATGATAGCAGATCCTATTCAGTAGATGTACCCACATCCATTAACTGATCTTCAGTTGCTGTACACATACATTGTTTTGTTTTGTTTCTTAAAATTTTTCTATTATTTCAGGTTGTTTAACTGTTAATAGTTTCTCTACATAGAATATGGCATTTTGAAACTGTACAAAGCTTTTGATTGCTAGTACTTACATATTCTTGAATCTGGGAAAGGGTAGTGACCTTTGTTGGCTGACATGACTTAATATTGCTACAAAATATGTTACTATTTTCCTTTATAGAAATTCTGAAAATTATTGTAGAAATGTTTTTACCTCATATGAACCACCTGACATTGGAACAGACTTTCTTTTCACAAGTGCTGCCAAAGGTATAGTACTATTATTACCTTAAATCAATTTACTTGTTATAAAGGCTGTTAAGATCTGGCCTCAGTTTTAGACCATTTATTCTTAATTTCTTAATGTATCACTTTTTTTGTTTTTGGTTGCGCCGCGAGGCTTGTGGGATCTTAGTTCCCTGACCAGAGATTGAACCCGGGCCCACAGCAGTGAAAGTGACGAGTCCTAACGACTGGACTGCCAAGGAATTCCCAATGTATCACATATTTGAAATACAAATAAAATAGTTTAAAATAGAGAATGTGATGGTGTCAGTATGATCATTAGGTGATTAAAAAACATATTTTCAGAGAGTATGGATCCTTTACTAATTGAATTTACATTATTTGTAGTTGGTTTTAAATACTCTTGTATTTTAAAGCTATTCATTGAAAATTGGGATGGATGATGAAGTTAGTTAAGCTTCTTTCTTTATCTTCTCTGTAGAATTTATTAATAATTGTTAAATTTCATTTTCTGCAAAAATGGAGCCAAAATTTATTAAAGAAGCCTTAGAATAAAAATGGCTGGAATATTGGTAAAATCAAGTAACTTAAAAGAAAATATCAGATTCACCAACTGCATTGTTACCTTTTAGATATATGTGGTATACCTTTTCTCTGAAAAGCAGAGTCATAACTTTTCTTTTTAATTGTGGGAACTAAACATACTTTGGTGACAAAATGAAACATTTTTTTATGATAACTTATCTCTTACTGGAATGGATTTCTAAGTTTAGCTTTGAAACAAATAATTATCAGAACTCCTTTTACTCATATTCACTCAATTGGTCTCTATCTAAAAAGTTTCTTAAATTTTGTTCTTGACCGCCAAATAAAGGTCCAGCTAGTATATAGATGAAAACGAGATGTTGAGTGTTAACAGGCTTATGGGAAGCAGTACCCTCTTTAGTTACAGTGTGTTGCTGACTATGGTTTTTCTTGTAGTGTAGTGTTTAGGCCATTTAACTTGTTTAGAGTATTAAGATCTTAGGTTGGCTAATGTTTCACAGACAAAAACACTTAGTTCTGAGGTCACGTACTATGTCTCTAACCCAGGAATAGTATTTTGAGTTGGTCAGAAAGGGGAGCTGGTTAGAAAACAAGTGAATAGGTAATTCAGCACAAATTCATTACCACTACCAGAAAATATCCTTGTAAATGTTCACATGGATGTTGATTGGTTAAGATCATCATCTTTTATTTATTTAAGTGTAAGAGTAGCACTTTTGTTACATCACCAAAAAATGAACTTTTGAGTGACATTTTTTTATGGATGTTATTAAGTAGATTCAAATCACAGAAATGGAAGACAAATCAATTTTTGTTGGAGGCTTTTTTTTTAAGGAGATTCTATTGTAGAAAAATAGTATACAAAAAATAGAAATACTATAGAAACACTATACAAAATATATATTTTATTAACTTTATTAGGTGCAGTTGTTACACTAGACAATATCCCGTGGCTGTTAATAATGCAAAATCAAATCTAATTTATTTCTTTAAAGATACGCCTTTCCTTTTTTAATGACTTCTGTTACTACTGTTTATGACCTGCTTTGTTTTCACAGACTGTGAGATTATTTGATGACATGGTGTATGAGTTAACCAGTCAAGCCAGAGGACTATCAAGCCAAAATTTAGAAATCCAGACCACTATAAGAAATATTTTACAGGTATGTCAAATATATTAGAAAGGGGGGTGGGAGAGCTTAAGGAGTGTGAAATATTAATTAACTTTATATTCTGTATATAATGCCCCAATGCTAGAATTAAATTTATAGAATTAAAGATATAAAGATATTGCAAAAAACATAAATTCTGAATTTCTTATACAATTTCATGCTTAGTAAATATCTAAACTCGTATAAGAAGACAAGTAATCAAGATAGCATGCCCTGCCTGTAATTCTAAAGCGTATGTGTAGAACACCTGCCATATACTTTGATGTTGTGGGTTAGGATTCCAACTTCTTTTTTTCTTTTTTTTTTAACCAAATGGCTAGCCAGGTTTTTGGGGGGTTTTTTTCCCTAAGATTTTTTTGATGTGGACCATTTTTAAAGTCCTTATTGAATTTGTTACAATATTGCTTCTGTTTTTTAATTTTTGGTTTTTTGGCTACAAGGCATGTGGGATCTTAGCTCCCCAACCAGGGATCGAACCTGTACCCCCTGCGTTGGAAGGTGAAGTCTTAACCACTGGACTGCCAGGGAAGTCCCTAGCCACTTTTAATATTTGTAGTTCTGACAGACTATAGTTATGTGTAAG